TACCACCGCAACCACCGGGGGTGCCGCAGTGACGTGTTTACTGGGATGTAAATGTTTAAATATCTGAGTGTTCAATTTACAGCAAGTACCACTAGGCAATTCTCTATACCGGGAACATGACAACCATGAAAGGCACAAACAAGCGAAAAGTTTGCCAGGCTTGTTACTTACCAAAAAGAGATTAGGGGTGGAAACAAATTAAACTATACTTAGTTAACATTCTAGACGAATAACGGCAGAACTCAGGTACAGTAAGTCCGGAAATCCATAGAAAAATTCAACTGGAACAGCTGTAACTGGGGTACTGCTGCACAGAAGAGGGTGGAACACAGAATAACTCGAGAAATCTGAATTTGTGAAGCCTGCCATCCATAAATATGATAGAGGTATATTGTCTGAATTTTCATATGAGGATCATCTTGAAATAAAAGATTTTTTCTCACATGAGAAGCACAGTTTCTTCAGAACTCACCTCTAATAAAATTGAGCGTATTTCACCCAAATCAGGGGATATGACGTAAAATGTATGGGTAGATCCAGGAAGTAAGTGGAGCCTTTTATCCCTTGTAGTTTTATTAGCCTTTTTCAACTTTTGGCGAACGGATGATCCCCACTCTCCCTTTAATGTTATAAAAACCTAAAAGCACGGAAATTTTATTCATCTAGGCGTCTTACATTCGCTGATGATCCTGCGTTAGGCACATCTGCGGTACTTAGTAACACTTTATACAGAGTGAAAGGACGGATAGGAATGCTCCTCACATTGTCATTCTGGGTGCATCTCTGTACTTGTGACTCAGGTGGATAATCGTATGTCTTTTTTCTGTTTGTTTTCTTGCAACCAAAATGAGAAAAACGTGACTTCCGGTTGTAAAATGCAACCAAATGCGGGTCATAAAGCGAATCATACTGATGCATCCCGTTAAAGGCACAAGGAAGCCTTAATTCAATAGCACACTGATGAATGAGCTTTCCAGTGAAAATGTCAACGAATAAAGTGCCCAGATTCAATTTTATGAAACGACGCCAAGGTCATTGCCATGACTGCCGTCACTTAAGTGTTATCAGGTTAAGTAGGTTTGTTCGGTTTGTAGTGCATGCATTTGTTTTAACAGAACTGAAATCAACGAGATATTTTCGTTTTTGCATAGCTCTTCGTCAATGCATTATATCCACCACCAACACTGGGTTAGATTTCATAGCACATCCACTGTGCGGGCGTAAATTTGTAATATATACAGACCATAAAAGCCGGCGGCTAGATGCACAATGTATTTTTCTGCAAAACGCCTGCGGACGAAATAAAAACTTTAACGTCAAAATGTTGCACTTCTTTGCATATATGCGTAGACTGAAAACCCTCCTCATCTGCCGTTATTTTTTTGCGATTTGTTTTAATCGATGACATTTGAAAATTATTGGCGCACATTCGGCTTTGAACTTCGTCTGCTATGGCTTCGGAAGTGGCTTTCGTTGAGAAATTTGTGCGTGTATCGTTTTCATCCTTCACGGCATTTGAGAAGACCTTAAATGAATACATGAAGGATAACTTTGTGATATTTGTGCGTTCATCCAGTAATCGAGGCACCAACACTATTTTGCGTTACGAAAGGGTGTACTACAAATGCAGCAGGCGCCCTCCAAGAAAAACGGAAAGCCGTAGATTCCGAAGCAGCTAGTAAGCCGAGCGTAATTTCTAATAAAAAAAAGTACGCGAAGCACCAGCTGCCCAGTGCGGTTTTGTCTACGGAGGCAAAGGAACCAACTGGCAGTGACGTCTTATTTTCTGGAACACAACCACAAACTGTCAAAGTTTCTTTACGATCGGCTTCCAGTCAATCGACGCTTAACCGAAGACGAGTTGGGCACATGCCAGGCCCTGCTGAGATATGGAACGCCGTCATCGTAAAGGATTTTCAATAATACAGGAGCATGTACCTTATACATAGACATTCTACACTATGAAGTGGCAAGTCTGAAAATGCCGTAGATTTCGAGAAATCAATCTCATTGTGCGAATAGCCAGCGGCACCATAAAACCCTCGCATGCACTATTCAAAGTTTCTCAGGAGAACATCCGCCCATTGATTACTGCCACCTAAATTACATTTCTAATTCGAACTGACATTTGGCATGCTTCTTGGAAGTCCGGTACACCTTTACAACGAACTGATCCGGACAATATAACATCTCACGTATGGGAATATGCGTCGCAGTCCCCGGTTCGATTTCCGAAGCTTCCTCCCGCCGAAATCGGAATTCAGGAAATGCAATGCTGCAGTTAGAATTCAAAAAACCGCAGAAAATACCATAAGAAATGTTGCGCTTGTCCCGACGTTAATAATAGCATTCGGCGGCAGATGATTACCTACGTGGTAAGTCTGGTTGGGAACATTCCCGCACTCGACTTTCGCTTATCGATAGGTGGATGCCAACGGAACCACCTTCACCGGAACAATGGGGTTCTGAGGAGAAGAATTTCATGGACTAGTCGGACTGCCCTATCCAGGGGTACGTTGCAGGAAGCTTTTTGTGTCAATAGACGAACTGTCAAGTCGCTGAACATCGGTTGCAGCCTCCAAATTCGAGGTAACCTGTTCCTCATTTCCAACCCATGTCTCGTCTAGGTCGGTACTTGGACCATGCTCCGTTCCTTTCAGATCATCCAGTTCATTTAAGTTTGGTGCAGCACATTTGTCTTTGACGATTCCCTTCTGTCGGTTCCACAATTCGAGACTAACCTTGAGTATTGTGCAATGTGGACACAAATGTGCAAACCGAATAATCTCTAATCTCAGGTATTACCACTATTCCTGTTATAAATCATTCAGAACAAGAGAACAACCTCAGTTAATCTCAGCGTTCACGAAAAGATTAAAAATGCCATAAAATATAGCCAATGATGATCGTTCGTCGTCCTAACCATCTGCGTTTTTTCTCTGGCTCTGAAAATTTCGACACCGCCGTTTATTTATTTGAGAAGGAATGGCTCAGTGGTTCGAACACCGGTGTACTAGCCCCAGGGTGCAAGGTTCGAGTCTTTGGTGTTTGTTATCTTTATTTTGCTTCCATTATGACCATACACAGTTTGTCAATTGCATGAACGTATTTTCGCTTGAATACGAAAAAATAAAAAGCGCACATTTTGTACAATCTCATGCAATACAAACATGGTCTAATGCTTTGACTCCCTTTTCTGACCTCTCTCACACTTACAGTGGCCATTCGCGAGTTTCATGGACTGACTCTGGTATCAGAATATTCCAGACTATCTTCGGAATTTATTTATGACACGTGAGAACTGTCCAGGAGACCCCTGTACAAGCATGATTCGATTATTATACCCTGAACTCGGTCAACGAAGAACTATTTTAAAGACAACAATTTTTAATGAGTCTGTTTTATCTGACCCCCTTATTGTTATATATTCAGTTTACCATCATTGTTTTTATCTCTTTGCCAGAAGCTCCTGGTGAAGTAGGTTTTTGGATACTCAGCCCACTACAAACCCAGCCTCCTCACCTGGACTTCTCGTGTCAATTTTGAGTAACATGGTATTACCTCAACCTCGTGCTCTCCTAGGTTGTCATGCCACCGAAAGGGTTCAGACCCGAACGAACATACTTACTGTAATTATTATTAAAAATATATTAATACACCTCGAGCACCGGGACAAGTATAGTAGTTGGAGGCTATATTTTCCATTTTCCGTGAACCACGTATGCGACGGTTCTGGTGGGGGAAAAGCCATCAAATTCATCCTCGCCTTTTTAGCGCACTAGTATAGATTTATCATATTGTTGTGGAAACTAACCTGCCAAATTCTTCATTCACTTCACTGTTGAGAGTTCGGGATCGGTATCTGTGCTTGCGTTTTGATTGCACAAGCGAAGTTCACAACCATTATTGATCCCGAGTAAAATCGTGGCTGGATACGAGCTTATGCAACTCAGCCGTAGAACCCCCTACTTTATGGCTGTAATACCTGACTGTAGATTTAAGGGTCCTCGGGTGTCCGTACAGGCATCACGGAGGTGAAGCTTATTAGTCACAAAGCCGATTTAGAAGAGCAACGGGCCAAGCTGAGGAGGACTTGAAGGAGCTAAGTGAGTGGCTTTTCATTTATTTATGTTACGTTGCATTGCTTACTCGTGTCTGTAACCTCCGTGATAAGCTTCATTTGTACTCATTTTCAACAGGTAAATATACACAAATTGACCTCCTAAAATATTTAACCTTTTCCTTGATCGATTGGCCTTCTATATGAGGTTAGATTGTGTAGAATGCACTCCCCACCAGTATGGCGAGCGAGGGCGTGGCCACAAGCGGGCCCGATTATGACGTCAAGATAGCGGAATGGTCAAGCAAATAAACATAAATAAATGCCTAAGAGATTCGCTTATACAAGAGCCAGATGTGAACAGATGGGAAAACAAATCTGCGTATTACTCCCTGCGTCAAGGAGATATAAAACGAATGCGTGGGAACATATGCTATGGAGATAGGCAAAAGCGTACTAGAGTGCAAGGGCTGTTCAAAACAGTTTCAAACCGTTCATCTTTATGAGGCACTGGGCTTTCTGTGCCAAGTCCACAAATTAATGAATGGTTACTGTACAAGAGACTCACGAGTAGTTTGGATGTATTCGTCTAAAGCAGCCAGGTGCTCGCATGTGAAAGTAGAGTGGATATTTTGGGGCCAATTGGTCACACAATACTCTTAGCTGCAGAACCTTTGAGAGTGGAGTAGAACGTTTTACGCCAAAATGTCGCCTCTTCAGCTTGTGTGCTTAATCCAAAAATCATCTCAATCTACCACCATAGTTTTGCAGCTTAAAAAATTTCATCTACGCCAAGGTAATCATACCCATATCAGAAAAGTCTTGTGGAATGATTTCTCAGCATCGCTGAGACCCAGGAATGCCTAAATGGGATTAAAAGTTAATTCTGATGCTCTGAAACCAGTTGACCTATTGATTTACTACATTGTGGACGGGCCATATCATTCGAACATTCCATTCCATTATGCGAATACTAAGCGCCGGGTTTTTGTTGCCACTGTTTCTCCGGAAAAAATCATGCCAGCGAAGCTGATACAGTCAAACCTTGGGGGTGTCCAAACAAAGCCTGACCAATTGCTCCACGCAGAATGGTTACCCCAGAAAGAAAGCAAAGGAACTCTTGGACTTCTCGTCACTCTTTCTTCCCCATCTTGGAGCGAGATGGCAGCATTCAGAAGGCCACCCCAATGGTCAGGCGTCCATCTGAGGATTTCCCCCTAGACGCGCGAAAGCTGGGTCACAACAGGTCGGGGTGGATGCACGAAACAGGCTTCCGCTGGGCACCAATTCAGCCGACCTCAAACTCCTGACCAAGCCGATTGTGGTCATATCCCGTTGTGCACCCGAAAGCAGGCCGACGACACCAGCTGCGTCTCCGGACAGCAGTTTCTATTCGATCACCACAGACCTCTCGCCCACCAAAGGCAGTGATGCCTTGAAGGAGGCAAACATCACATGCAAGCAGCGCCCAAAGTACATGGAGCTATCTCCGTAACAGACAACACAGCTGCAGCCATGCACTCTTCAACGAAGCCACAGCCTCTGAACTGTACTGAGTCAGGTGTGCGGGGATAAACAGCGAAGCCAATCTTTAGCTCCAGTCTGTCAAAACGGCATCTCTGCCTGTGGACTCAACTGTCACCCAGGACGCCGACAACCTAAGCCATAAGCATGACTACAGCCATCCGGAAAATCCCTCATAAATCCAGTTGGCCACGCTGATCGCCGGCGGATCGAGTGTCTCCAAAATTCGCCAGATTAGAAAACTGCTCGCTGGCTTCAAGGTGCAGTCCTCCGCGAAAACGAGCCTCTTGGGAGCGCCACCAAAAGCATTACTTCTTGGTGCTGCCACTCGGCGCCCAGGACAAACCGGGCCAAAACACCTAAGCATCCAGAAAGGCGAAATCTTACCGCAAATCTCTGAGCAACAGCAAATTTGGTAGCCAAAATGGGGGTGCTGAAAGAGCTACAAACAGAAACGGTTGAAATTTTCGCCCACGGGCAAAAAGACCTCTCCCCCCAAAGCCAAAAGGTCCGGGCAGACCTGGCTCACACGGAACGAAAAAACCTCGCAAGCGAAAAACAGCCCCAGAAACCGCGAAGACAAGAAGTAGACGATATAACTACGAAGGCATCTTCGGAGCCTTGAACTCAAAACCGGCGCACAACTATTAAGTCTGCTGACCAACCTGGTCACTCAACTTTCGGTTCCTCACCCTCGGAGGCGGAAGAGACGGTATTGGAATGCTTGTCCACAAACTGCCTCGGCCTTTCCAACAGACTCGGCGATGTTAAACAGTCAGCTTACATTGATCAACCGTCCATAAACGCACTCACAGAGACTTGGCTTACACGAGATGTAACTGACGCGGCGACCTTGGTAGATATTTAGTCTATTTTTTGAGCCGACTCAAAACAAAGGCGGGCAGGTGGGGTTGTTCTGTACTTAACTGCAGCCCTACCAATGCCGATCGTCCTCTCTGACACAACCCCGCACCCTTTTGCGATGCACTGTGGGTCCAAATACCGATGCGCGGGTCCTATTCCCTCCTTCTCGGTGTGGTCTACAGTAGCCCCTCGAGGCCCCCTGAAGATGACCACTTCCTCTAAAGAACACTTGAGCAACTCTCCTCCAACTACCACTTCACTCATCTCCTTCTTGTAGGTGGCTTCAACGCCCCAAAGGCCTCCTGGATTGAGTTCCAGCGCGTCCAATCAGGCGGACTTTTTGCAGCGGCGCTGATTGAAGTGGTTCACCAGAGCGCTTGGACTCAAAATGTCGTTGCACCCACCAGATACCGTGCAGGCCAAAAACCATCCCTCCTGGATTTCGTCATCACCAACGGAAGACACTTCGTTGATCAGGTAACAATTAACTCTCACTGGGACATAGCGACCACTGT